CAGCCACAATGGTGCACTTGATGGCAGAATTTATCAGCTTTGTCTAATAGTGGATCTTTCTGAAAACAACCTTTAAACCTTAGCGCGAAAGCTTTGAGATGGATAAACAAAACCATACAGTCCGCAATGTTACCTACTTAGAAGACAAGGCCATTTTGTGGAAGGTTTCTACATCAAAGTAAGTCGTTGCATTTTATCCCAATACTTTTTGGTTATTTGTCGAAATCATCATTTTAAGCCGTGTCTGTAAGCGTAGTCTCTGGTTTGTGATGTTCGTGCTGGCAGTTTTACAGCACTTCCGCTCTAAGGCATTGGTTACTGCATAGAGAAACAAATATTCCTCTTTGCTCCGTATTGCATACTAGCCTTCCGATGGATATCTGCCGTGTTTTGATTCCCACACAATCGCATGGGTTGGAGAAAGTGGTTCTGTTATTTTGGAACAAACTATCGATTTTTAGGCAGACATAATATCCTTTTCAAAGTGCAACAGTTTGACTTTGAGTAGCTATAATTTATTTTTCATCATAAACACTGAATTTGTTCTGCACAATGGTTAAACTTTGTTTACAAACTTGGAGGACGGGGGGACGAATGCCATGCCTGCATCAGTGCATACAGATGCCCAAAAAAGCAAGGATAAAAAGTAGGCGATCATTTTTACTCAGCAGTGGTCTGGTTACCGCGTTGCTTCAGAGGCCTAAGGTCTACATTAGATATTTACTATGTCATTAGTGAATATATTACTATATATTATGTTGATTGTGATTTTAATCATGATTTTTTCAGAAATAATTATGAACGGCAGCAGTAACTCGCAATATCCAGATACAATAAGACTGAGTCTGCAAACTATTCCGTGTATGCTGAACTTTGATGAAGAAATGCACTTGTCTGTCTCTGGATGTAGTAGGAGCGACTGCGCAGAGCGAGCATTTTCTACAATAAAGAAAAAGTAATCGAACAACGTACATTTACATGTATGACAACGTCTTTTGAGGATCATTCAGCCAGTAAGCCGTTCCGAATCTCCGTCATCTTTACAGTGGCCTTCGCTCGAAAGTTTCAACGA